GAGGACTGCATGACGGCCACAATATTATTATTATTATTACTATTATTATCTAATAGTTGGGTCTGAGTATGGAGTAGGTGGCCGTCCAGGCGGCCGCAGATGGGGGTTGTCAGGGCAGAACCGTTGCCCGGGGATGCGCTATTATCTTCCTTCCAGCTCGCTCAATCCGTTTGTTGGCTCCTTTTCTCGTCGATTCGAGGTCCCCACAGGCGAAGACGGGTGCGCCAGTAAGCAGTGGTGGTTAAAACTCGATTAAAACACTAGGAAACGGGCCATGTTTTGTTTGTTTCTGGCCAGTAAGCTGCTCCGTAGTTGAGTCTTCTGCGGCGGTGGAGATCAACAGTGCGTTCGTGATCGGCCGCTCGAAGCTTCGGAAGGCTGTGGAGAGACGCAAGGCCGGTGGAGATGGGCCGCCTCTCGCAGCAGCTTACCACTGACAGCAGCCAGCAGCTAAGTTGGTTAGTTATCAATTTGCCCCAGGCATTGAAACACCGCCCGCCGTTCTTCTGCAGCCGCAGCGCAGCAGCAGCAGTTCCTCGTCGGCGTTGAGGCAGTCAAGTTGAAGCTGGCATCCACAGCCGTCTAACTACCAGGTTGTTACCCACAGAGTCAGGTAACTCGATAGCGAACTAGCGAGATAACTAGTTTGACCGGCTTGGGGGCCGCTGCTCTGGCAATCGTCAAGCCGAATCCACCGGAGGCCCCGAAGCCCTTACTAGCGCTCTCACGCTCGTCAACCACGGTGATGCTTGCTTGCTCTGGGGGGGGGGGGGGGGGGGGGGGGGTTAAAAAAAAACAAAAATTGTGCTTTCAATTGGCAAATGCCGGCTGGAGATCCGATCTGCTGCGGAAGATGAAAAAAAAAAAAAAAAAAATATGACCTGTTGCCCCAGTTGATGGAATGAGTATCTGCCCCAGGCGCCCAGCATGAGCGTCCTGGGACCGGATAGACACCTAAGTATGTACCCAGGCCTGGGGGCTGGAGAGCAGAGAATCCGTCGCTCAGTTTCGCTAGAGTGCCAATACCCAACCGCTCTGTCGGTGTCCATGATTGTATGTCAGATGACAAGCCATGCTCCAGCGCGCCTCTAAATACCCAGAACTCCTACCCCAGACAGGAACAGGCAGCTGGTTGCTTCTCCTGCTTCTCCTCAGCGTCTTCTTTACCGCACCGCCTGCGCTTTTTCCCTTCGAAACGACGAAGGAGACGGTTCGGCATGGGCCAAGCGCGCGCCCCATCTAGGGACCAAGTGAACTAATCTCTTTGATCGGGGAGACCTCCGCGGCGCTTCTTTGAGGGGCAGTTTCTGCTCGATGCAGTTGCTGCCCTTGCAGCGCCCATCAGCGACGCTGAGGAGGGTCGACCACATAATTCAACACACCTCTAAGAGATTTGGTCTGAGGCAGGCACCCTGAGGCCGATCGATAGGCAAAAGATATAGATTCATCTCGTTGCCGTGGTGGGCCTGGGCATATCATCAAAGAGGCAGCCACCTGAAAGTGACATGTCGACAACTTCTGTAATTATATTCGGTATGAGGAGGGCAGGGAGCCGTGTATCTCCCAATGCGGTAGTCCAACGAGGACGGCGGAGGTGTATCCTCTTTCCCTCTACCCTGGGATCCCCTGCAAGGAAAAGGGTCGTTGTCATCATGATGGCGTGCCGACTTTATTTTGCGTTGCTGTCTTCGGTACCCTCCGCCGCCATCAAACAGCCCCCATCACATAGTTAACTAATTAACTCCCCAGAGAACAATGTAACCCCTTATCCCCAGAGTCGGGGAATTTCCCACCCGCCCCAGATCCCTCGTGCAGAGTCAACTATTCGCCTGCGACTGACTAATTACCAGAGCCTTTAATGTTGAAGCAGACTTCGCCAGCTACGATCTCCTCGCTACCATTCTTTTCCCTGTGTACAAGTCCAGCCGAGACTGCTGTCTCTTCAGGATTTCATCGTTGTGGCCCTCGAGGGAGCACGCAAAAAGCAACATACGAATGACTCGCAAGAGAGAGCAGCAAAGAAACCCGGCCTAACTAGTTAACCGTTATGTCGGGACGATTTGAAAATAGCGATTGGCCAGCGCTGATCTAGACCATGAACCGCGAGACGCCCTGCCATCCTCTCTCTCCACCGTGGAGGTCAATATCGTCGTCCCACCAGTCCCCTGTTGCATGTCCTGCTAGGATTTTAAAGTCCCCTAGTGTGGTTGACACTGAACTTTCTTTCCTGCTCTTCCCAAGAAGTTAGTTACTTTCTTTTCTTCTTCCTGCGCTCTGTGCTGCTTGCTCACTGCGCTTTTGCTTTTTAGCTGTCAACTAGCCGCATGTGTATATAGCTCGTTCTTGGAGGGCGAGGGAGGCCGCGCCCCAGGCTTGAGCCCCTTGCCGAACATCCCATCGGCTTGCCATTTCGATCCTAGCTCCAGCCGAGGCCACTCTAGTGTTGGCTTCCATGCTCTTCTGCCGTCTCGGAAGAGGGTCCGAAAAATGCCTTTAAGCCGTAAAGGGTTAACGGATTCCTCTGCATGAGGAGATTTCCCTTTTTTTGCTTCTGCTTGTGCATATGATAACACGGGGTTGTTTTCTCTCCACACGTTGCGTCGGTGGATCGTTGACAAATGCGGCGGTCGTGCCGGTTTCCCTCCATCCAGCCTATACATAGTAGCTGCGTATCGATCTATGTCGTGATAGCTATGCAGAGGAACTAACTAGCTAGACCCCTAGCTATCGTTCAGTCATCACGTTCTCGGACGAGAGGTCTGGTTAGCTGACTATTTAGCAAGGCTTCAAGCAATTCTGACCGGACAGAGATCACGTCCATCTGTTGCAACATTCAACGGCGTCTGTGAACATGTCGCGGTTGCTAGTGCCTGACACCAGTTTCTGCGTGTACTGAGTGGTCAGAGTGCTGCAAGGGGTCATTTACTGCACGGGATTTCAGCTTCTCTTAACTACACAGTATCAGCAATGGCTGTCCTTGTATTTAGCCAGTCAATTAGTTTTCAGTCCCACGATCAGCAATGGAGTAGTGAAAAAAGACGGTGATGCAAATCTAGTTAGATTGGGCGGTGGTGGTAGAGTTGACGCCATGCAGAACAGACATCAGCATACCCTGTAAAAGCAAGATTGGTCTGATACACACCTCAGTTATACCCTTAAACGGTACTGCTTTTAGCGGTGGAGCGCGCTGGAGTCCCGGATCGATGCTCGGTCTATGATCTTATGGAGTAGCATCATACATTGACCACAGACATGATACACTTATCCAGTTATTAATAGGAAGAGGTAATGCCTGAAGCCCCTGGAGATGAAGCCTACGCCGCAACCGGGGGCTTCCACATCAATGGAACTTTTACTATCGACGTAGCCTTGTCGCATCATGACATGCAGCTGCCTATAAGTTTAGTTAACGACGCACAAGTTAGCCTCAGGAACAATACTTTACTATACCCTACCAAATTCAAAATAACACGACTCTTCTAGGTGCCGTGGTATAGAAGAGATATCCAACAACCTTGATAACTAGTTGATTCTTCAGCGCAATCCATGTCAATGCTTAAATTTTCTTTTGTGTGCCTTGTATGCAGTCAGACAGTGATAGATCCAACAATTGCGGACGTTGAAAGGTGGGATTTTTGTTATCATTTTAAGTAGAATGCAAGAACAGCCCTAAAGAAAACCGAGAAAATACCGCGAGTTGGAAAGATCTGCTCGAATGCATCTTAATCGTCAGTACATGCATACCCTGTCTTGTACGGGAGAGTAGAAGTGGCCCGACAGGAGATGTTGACGTGGTCTTGAGGTTCTGTCAGAAGGCATCACCCGTCAACCACTTATATCCCCTCATTGTTGTCTTCGATTGTCTGCCGTGCGATGTAAGACAGAAATTCATCATGCAAGAGTCAAGCCATGGTCCTGGACCCGGGGAAACTTGATCACGGTATCCCCGTTGTGCATCAGTTGGCTGTACGATATAGACGAGGACGGGGCAGTAGAAGACAAATACGTTCGCCCCCAAGGCAGTTAATGGCTTCCAGTCCCATTCGCAGATCGTTTGTATTTTTCTCGCAATCTGATGGTGGCGGCGGAAGAGTTATCGTCAAACTGACCAGTAGAAAATCAAACCTGAGCCAGCCATTTGCGGTATTAAATCTTTAATATTTGTTTGAGATGCTGGATATTGCCGGGATGGACTACTATATTTTCAGCGCCAGAAATTAAACCATATATGGAGTACAGGTAGGGCAAGGCAGCGATGCAACACTTCGAATTCCACTATTCGGGATATACTTCGTACTCGATGGAAGAATGGCTCTATTCAAGGTTCTGAAAATACCGGGAATTGAGAAAACCTTCGTTGTATTTCCCAATTGCGATCCCAACTGCAAGGGCTTATTCAAAGATTTCGGTCGGGGCCAGTATCAGGTTTAACGCTTAAGTGGTAGCAGCCTAAACGCTAAGAGAGTCTACAAGTCGCATTATTTGGATCAAAAGCCATGGCATTGGTCTCTATCCCTGCGCCTCCAACTTGATATCATCTCTCCAACATATAGGGAAATTTCTTGATTGGGTGGGGATGTAAGACAAGGATGCCACTCTAGTGGCCTTATGAAGAGCATCCATATCATCCATACTGGATAGACGCTACCAAGCGCTGTGGTGTACAATGAATATGTCACTATCTGGGAAGGGGCGCAATTTGATGAGCGTAGCCCTAACGTTTCCAATTGGCCGGTATAGGACGGAGACGGGATGAGGTCAAGTTTCACAGCATCATTCATATCAAGTGGTATAACCAATGATCCTCAGGTCTAGCAGTATGCGCTGCCCTGCAGATAGCTGGCATACTAATACAGGTAGGTCGAGTTTCGACTACAATGACCTAGGCTTCTAGAAGACTTTAATGTAGGTATTTCAGGTGTTTTCGAGGATAGCACCCATACCAGTGGTTTTCCCAACTCTCCACATATGATTAATGCATCCTCAAAGCACTTTCCAGCTAGTATATGACAGATGGGTCAGTGACTAGTAGGTGGTGCACTCATCGGATATGTTGTCAGGAGTGAGAGTGATCGGTCATGGTATCGAAACCCGAGGCATACCATATGTAGGATTCCGTAGAGTAATATCCTGATCCGGCGACCTTCAGCCATGTAAGATGTTGTGTCAAATGGCTGGTATGGGTGGAACCAAGGCAATATCCAGACCGTAACACCATACCTGCAGGTCAAACCTGAGGTATGAAATATGCAGGGACAGTGTTACAGTCCTAAGCAGCGGAGAAATTCAGGCCAGTTGCAGTTGATCTCGTAACTGGACTAAAATTATATGCATCTGCGGCGGCCTTGTATCCACATGTGCATATTCACCTGTCTTTGTTTGGCATTGTAGACACTATGGGCATTATCAGTATTATCATTTTCGAATGACAACCCGGCAGTTTGGGTGATCAGGCGCAGGTGGCTTGGATGTGATAAGAAAATAAGAGCTATCAAGTTCTTCCTTGTCCCAGCAGATGTATGTTTGTTTGTCTTCAAGCCATCCTTGCCGCGGATTTGGGTTTGAATGGGCCGCAATGCTGGAGCAGCAGATCAGCTTTGCAGCTCTAAGGCAGTGCAAGTTGCCTAGTTAAAGTAGGATAAGCTTTCTTGTCCCCTAGAATCCAGGACGTTTTTATGCTTCTGTTGGTTATGATCTACCTGTCTCACGTAGAAGCGCCCCAGGGGAACTTGCTAATATTGCAACTCCACCCAGGTAGTGGTAGCTTGAACATATGCCAAATTCATCACGAGTTGATTCTGTTCCGGATATTATCTAGTCTTTTTTTTTCCGGTGGCGGGGTGGAGATGCTATCATCTATTATGACTGCCATACACCAAACCGCATAGTCCAAAGTACTGAGTTGTCGAAAGTGATTATCCCAAGCCCAGAGAATCTGGGGTCATTTTGAATTCGATAGTTAAGATATTCCCATACATCTGGTGGTCTTCTCAGCAGGCCTCTCAATGCCCAAACAGTCGCACCGGCCGCAATGGATGGGTGAAGTTTCGCTATCAGGCACCTAGTCAGTCATCAACTAGACAGGCGGCTGTGATATGTTGCATCCTTCAATCAGAACTTAGGGGTTAAGGCAAAAGCCACCAAGGCCTATCTGAGGCTTGTTAGAAAACAAACGGGGTGCTGGGCATGTAGAACGATTGGAAATTGGACGTGACAACCAGCTAACGCTTGGTTAACTAGTTAATTAACTAACTTCCGGGAGCTCCAGCGTCCCTCACAGGCCAGCCAAAGAACTTTGGAGCGATATCAGAATGAATATTTCCGCGGCCTGGTCAACTCAGGCGCCCTATCCAACGCGAATGGCGTTTTGCGACTCCACGTACTCCGTAGAGGGCTGACGATTGATGGGAGGAGGTTGAATTAAAAACGAGGCTGTCTTGTCGCTGACTAGTTAAGTGTACGTCTGAGTTGCCACTTTGGGACAGACCAAAACCGTCTTTGTCAGCAGCGCAGAAGCCAACCTCAACGTCGAGTCTTCTCAGCGCCTTCGATGGGCAAACACTGGAACACCCGCAACACACGAAAGACTCGACCACTCTCTGGCGAATATGGCTAATCAAGACAAGTTGCCGCTGGCTCGTGGCCGCCGGGCTTCGTGGGGTTGTACGGGATGGCCGAATAATCCTCTTCCGGTTGCACGAGGATTTTTGTAACCCGTTATTATGGCGAGTGTGAGGCAGGGAACAGGCATCTCGGTCTTGCACAAGGTGTTGCTGCTGTACGGCTGGCTTCCTCCATGACAAGCGGGTGTTTTAGAGCGCAGAGGATGGCGTACAGCTCGTTGCCGTATGACAATTGTTCTTACTGTGTCCCAGAACGTGGTCCTCATGTGCCCCTACATACAACCGCTCGGAGTGCATCAAGCCTCTCTTACTCCCGCACCGAACGTCATCGCCTGAGCCACTTCGCGTATCTAGAGACGTCTAGGCTCATCAAATTGCTAAATATACCCTTTGCACAGGCAGTTTGCCACACTCATCTCCGGATTACGTCCTCGGAGTTCTGGTTCACGTCGTGACTGAAGACCACAATAATTGCGAGTGCTAAGGATAGGAGGTAGCCCGATGCTACCGTGTCGGACCGATCTTCGGGCCAATTCTGTCCCACCGCGCTGCGTGACGTACTTACTTCTCCCGCTGTCACCAACGGGAGTGCAGCTGCCACTTTACCTTTATGTGATATCCAATTGTTCAAGCTGCCGTCTGGTATTATTGACTACGAGTAGTCAGACCAAGGAAATTGAATCTCTCTTTAAACTGCCTTTTAAATATTTCTCTGTGTTGAGATAACTAATGGAGAATCTGATTATTCTTGGTCTTCTATAACTTAGTTGTTGACGTTCATCGTCATCACCCAGAAGCAGGCCTTCCTGCTTTGCCCCCGCTCCTCTCTCCAGAAAATAATAATAATAATAATAATAATCTAGCACTGAGCTCTTACCTGCGATCTAGACCTATGTCAATTCCGCTTTAGAGAGACATCTGGATCCGCGCTTAAGACGGAACTGAGAATGGGGCAAAAGCGCAATTTTCCAAGTCTGTACGAGATGTCACTGATATTTTACTTTCGGTAATGAACATCCTCCTCCTTCCACATCTTCGCTATTTGTGTTTCGCTGTATGGAGTAGCTTGGGCGGGGGAAATTGTGCTAGTTGCTCGATAATCCCGCGACCGAGCCGCGACCGTTGTGCGTCCAAATGACTTGGGTGTTTCGCTAACTGTGTGATCAGCTTCGACAAAATCAACATGTTAGAGCCGATATCCGTCGCTAGCTTCGTTCGCTTGCTTGGCTAGCCTCCGGTTGCTAGTTATATATTCCGCTACTTACGTAGGCTCCACGCCTCCGTCTTCATTGCCCAGAGACTCAGCGCTTGGGCCCAGGGAATTATCTCGTTTTTGCGTCCTTTCTCGTGGCTTAATTTCTTTTTAGTTTCTTCGCCTTTCTGACTGCCCAGAGAGGCTTGCGACAGCTTGACCGTCCACTTACTTTCCCGGCGGGATAAGATGGTTCAATAATAATCGGACAGCGGTCTGGTTTCGGGCTGGTGCCAACTGTTGTAATTCATCATTTTCGTCAACCAACAGTTTATCACTTGACGTTGGAAGAGTCAGCGAGTCTAGGGAGAACACGTCTCAGAAATAATGCCGTCAGATGAATACCCTGTACGTAATGAGCGAGGTTATCGCATAATGTAATTTGTCTACGTCTATTAAGATCTGTAGTCGCTGAAGAGACGAGGTATTTCTCTCGACCAGCTCGTGAGGTTTTATCAAATTAGTCAAGGCTGATAATAACTCTTCAATAGCCACTAACTAATTAGTTAAACAATGCACTTGTTCTGCCGTAACTTGCTTTAACATGTTTTATTATCATCCTCACCTGGTATGAAGATAAAATTTCTCACTTCTCTGTGGACTAGTTTCGATATATATCAATATCCAGTCTAGTTGGCGCACTTGAGGCTTTTTCTGATCAAATCCTCCAAGCCTGCCGTGCGGACTTCACAGGATAATGAAATTGTTGCGGAGTAACTCATCTATTCTGTAATCAGGCACACGCTGTTACAGGATAGTGAGGGTCTGTTCCCATATTCGGACTTTTATCAATTTAGTTACCAGTCTGGTACATATAAAGGAAATTAGCTACGAGCTGGGACATATATCTCTCTGGGGTCTTGGGATTTTATAATCCAAAATGTACATGCCTGCCCCTGCCACTTTGAATGTGATAAATCAATACAAGCTAGGGAAAAAAAGTAGTTGTATGTTCGGAGTGTGGTATAAGACACTAGAAAGTGTATATATACGTTGAAAATCTCATACTTATATATGCTATTAATACTGGTATAATCCCACATTAATTATATGTCCAGGTTAACACCAAGAGGATACACGTTTGGAAAAAGGGTAACAAGGAATAAAATTAGTGGCACAGTGTGTATGCGATAGAAGCCGTTCAGAAAAGCAGCAATATCCTGGAACGTGTGACGAAGAGAAGTAATAATACAGGGACAAAAAGGTATATGAGTTCCAAGGAGGTTGATCGGTAGTAGGCGTTTATATATCAATATGGCATTTCTGAATGTTCGTGAAATGCACCATCTACACTAACAATGGTGGTAGTCATACTGTTATATCAAGTGGATTTTCTAGGGGAACATTGACTTTGGGAGTCTGGCTGCCTTTGTTCAAATGAGATCGGATGATTAGAGATAGGCGAAGAGCAATTCAATATTCCAGGCGGGTGGTGATGTTGCGGTACTCCATTAGTTGTCAATATTGTCTCCGGGGCCATGGATTTCACTGGAGCTGGAATAGGAGCATCCGGTGATGTCCTACCCATCAGCTTCGGGCTAGGTTGCAGTCTCTGCACAGGGGGGACAACTGGCTGAACACCAACTTCGCTGGAGGAAGCGGTGTGCACGGGAGAGTGTTTTGTAGGGCTGAGGCCAGACATAGGAATTCCAGGAGAGTAGCGATTTGATGGAGGCGTTTGGCTAAATGAAGCCTGAGGATTGGTCGTGACTGAAAAAGAGGTAGCTGAAGATTGGCTTGAAGGATGATACTGTTGTCGATGATGCTGATGTTGTTGCTGAGGGTGTTGCTGAATCTGGAATGAAGAATATGGAGAGTAGCCATTAGGGTTACTTTGGTAAGTAGTGCCTGGATTTGTGCCGTTTGATCCAGGTGAGGGAGCGCTACTGGTAGGAGCTGGTGCGGGAGCGGGTGGGAACCCGGCTAGCGGGCCGACATCTCCATTGCCCTGAGTTGGGGACATGGATGGCCGATTCTGGACCGGGGAGGGGAAGTTGCTTGGTATAGAGCCAGAAGAAGTTGGACGCTGGCTGCTGAAAGACGACATCATGTTTCTGGGGATTGAAGCTTGAGGTAGGGGGTGAACAGGAGCAGGCTGACGTCCATAAGAGACGCCAGCATTTGGCTGAGGAGCGGGAGAATATCCTGGTTGAGGGGAGCCGTTTTGAGCGTATATTGAGTGAGATGCAACAATGGGGGGATTTGATGTAAATAGACGTGGTTCAATTGGGGCAGGGCGGAATTGCTGGGTCGAAGAAACGTTCTGGTGGTTGGTAGGTTGTTGGTTGATGAGAATGGATCCATTGTTCGCCTGGGGCTCTTTTTTCGAAGGAGGTGAAGCTGATGATGTGATGCGGAACTTCAACGGTGGAATCTTGGGTCGCTTTGCTTCTTCAATGCGTCTCTGACAATCCTTGCATATGAAGTGGAAGTCGTCTTTCTCTGCCTCTTCCTGGGAAATACCAAGGCATTTGCTATGCTGCCAGACATTGCACTTGTCACATGCGACGCTATGAGATCCATCATCCTAGAGGCAAACAGTTAGTGCGTGAAAAATCTTGGAAAGGAAAAAGGGGCACGGTTATGCATACCAGATTCTCTCCATGGATACCGCAACCAGAACAGTCGAATGTCCATTCTTCAACCTCGAGATTTTCCAAGCCTTTCTGTCGCTTTTCCAACTCAGCATTGAAATTCCGGCGTGATAACCTTGCTTCCCCCTCCTCAGCCAGCTTGGCCTTTTCAGTCAAACGAACAAGCTCTTCTTCCTGCTGTTTCCTCTTCTCCTCACGGTCTTTCAGACGCTGTTCACGAGTCATTAAGCGGTACTGCCGTTCTTTTTCAATCTTTTGAGCTCTTTCTTTGGCCTTTTGTTCAGCAATCCGCTCAGCTTCCTGTCTTTTAGCTTCTTCAGCCGCTTGTTGCTCTTGGCGTATCCTGTCTTGTTTGCTAGCAATTCTACTAGATCTTTTTGCAGTGGCTAGTTTTTCGAGGGCTATCAGTTCTTTTTCTCTACGAAGAGCTTTCTTTTGCTGTAGCTCCTCTACTTTTTCAATGACAGGCAAGACATCTTCGACGAGGCGCTCTATGAGCGCCTGTTCGTTTAGGTCCTTTGACTTCTTTAACGAGTCAATAAATGTATTGTAGTCATTCAAGGTGATGGCAACACATTCCCACTCGTAGTCTCGATTGCAATTCGATGCTGACAGCGCAGTATCGGCCTCGTCCTCTTGGCCATCGGTTTCATCGGGGGTATCGACAACTTTTCTTCGTTTCGATGAGCGGACGCCTGCTCTACCTTTCCTGCTGTTTGCTTTTCGTTTCACAGGTCTCTCCGGCGGGATCTGAGGTTCTATGCGACGGTATAGACGGTTATCATCAAGAACATAATATTGGTGTTCATCACGGTCGTATCCAATTTCATTAACTCTCTAGGAGACGTCGGCATAGCGTTAGTTATCCCATTGAGTGTATTAAGCCATAGATGCGCGAAGTATACCCATTGTAATTGGTCGGATTCTTTAACCTCTCCCATCCGCTCTCGAAATCTATCCGGATTCCAGAGGGTCCAAGCAGATAGCTGTTGTAGAACGCGTATTCTCTGGAAAATATCCAGCTGGTGAAACTTCAATGGGGTCTCATCGTCTCCAAAAGGGTTGCGGAGAGGTGCTTTCGCGAGGTACTGCCGCCGTGTGTACTCTTCAAAATTATCGTAACTAAGGGGAGAGTATCAGGTTAGTAAGTGACAAGCGGAGAGCGTTCGGGTAGGGTTCGTACTTGAGACCACGGTGGGAGGAAACAAATTTGAGGAGATTCAGACCGATGTTGAGCAGTCTCTCCGAGTGTCCAGGTTTAAGGCACTCCGTCTCGAGTTCCTATGAAGCAATACTGATTAACATATCGAGCTGGTTGTACTTCTTTTTTTGTCCCTGGTAGACAACGAACTCTCCCATTGAGTAACAATGGAGCAACGATTTACGCTATCTGTCCATGGTACAGCACTACTCAAGAACCATGCATACCTCTATATCGATATCGTCGTCAAGCTTCATCGGCTTGCCAAATGTATATATGTACTGCATCAAGTTTGGAAACTCCCACATGTTCCGCAGCCGGTGAAGGAGGCCATGTTCTTGGGGCTCTGGGGCGCTTTGAGGCTCGGTTTCCTCTCTGGAAAGCTTACGCGACACCATGGTAGGCTCTGTGTCTGCGGTGTGCGTCCAGTTCACTCTGCAAGTCGCGATGGGGTATGCGATGCGATACAATCCGGGGTGTCTGGGCTTCGTCGAAATATGGATGTCACTAGTGCTGGGATCGAGCAAACAGCGGATCTCACGTCACGCCGGGGCTTTTTAACTGTTTCTCTATTACCATAAGAGGACGGACGTGTCTAAATATACAACAGGAGATACTGCGAAGACGTAGAAAGGCGAAGAGTCGAAATGTGAAATAGAAAACTGTCGCGAGCGTCTCAGAATAAAAAAAAGCCGATCCTTGATTTTACGGCGAAAAAGAAGAAAAAGACGCGTTTGACACGTGATGCTTATGTAATGATGACGTAAGATGACGAGGACGACAAGAGGCAAAGATGGTGATGAATAAGTATCAAGGGGGTACAGTAGGTAGCCGTGTAGACCAGGAGGTTCTAGTATAGTGATGACAGAGACAGATGGATATCCAGGGGATAGCGGGTAACGATAAGGATGCACAGAGATGCAGGGTAAATAATACAGTAGATGATGACAATGGCCTGCTGCTTGGATGTTGCGCTCAGGAGGCGAGTTGAAGATAACAATAATGCGAACAAACAAGGCTGCAAGTGGCTGAAATCAGATACGAAAAGGGGGACGGGGGTCATGCTCTTCTAATCCATGGTATCGTGACAGTGAGAAGACAAAAAATAAGCTTACATGAAAAGAGAAAGGGAGAGATGAAAAATCACATATCCCGACCTTCACTCGCTCCAATGACCAGAAAGGACAACATCGGGAACATGGGGAAAAGGCACAGAGGAGGAAGGAGTAAGTAATAGATACATATACCCTCATTGAATGATCGCCGCACACCGGAGGTTCCGCCGCCCCTTTTTACCTTTCCACAACTCGCGCGCCAGAAACAACCAGAAGGGGGGTGAAAAAAAAAAAATATAAAAATGCGTTGAAAGAAGAAGACGCAGTGTGGGCCTCATGAGGATATCCAGGTAGATAGCAAGAAATTTGTGGGCATGAAAGCGAACCGGGAGAGGTACGTATGTGGATATGTAGGTGGGGAAAGAGGGAAAAGGATGAGGGTAGAGAAATCATATAAAAGCATAGACAAAAAAAGAAAGGAATTTTACGATGAGCAAACCCCGAGGTAAAAATGGTGTGGTACCTATGAAGAATCTTTTCTTTTCCCTTTTTCTCTTTCTCTTTTTCATCATCTCCCAGTATTGAATTCTTTTTCTTTCCTCCTTTGCCCATTTGGTCTGGGGGCTCGAGGAATGGCATGATTAGTCGATTAGACGAGGACACTATTTCGTGTATATCCGGCATTAATCGGATTAATCGGTGAGTTTTTTTTCCCTTTATATTGCTTGTTCGCGGATGCTCACATTCCGGGACCAGCATTGGAGCCATCGACGACGTTGTCAGACAGGTTTATGAGGAGCTGCGCAAGGCACCGTTTAGTAGCAGCATCATCGCGAAGGACGGACGAGAAAGTGGCATCGCGAAGGGGCTCTGGTAAGCATTGACGAAGTGCTTCACGGGCACGGTTATTGTCGCTGAGTCTAATATCAAATTGTTAGTGGGTGTCTTTACCGGAGAGGGCTATGAAAGTTTACCGCAAGAAGCAGCGGACTACATGCTTAAGTAGCCGAACAGTTTGCTGCTCCACAAGCTGGGTGACCATGTTGCTGAGGACTGTCCCAACAGCATAGAATCGTTCATATGTCGCACAAATATAAGCTAGGCCAATGTCATCAAGTAGAATCTTTTGAACGATGAATATGGCCACGGTCTTGCTGAGCTCCGACCCAGTCTCCATTATTCGAAGACATAAAGGGATGATTTCGGTAGTAAGAAGGAAGTTGATGACATCAGACGAGTCATTTTTGACCAAAGCGCCGATAACGCCGAGTGAGGTGAGACGGAGGTATTCAAACGGACGAGACTTGGAGGTTGTGTTTAAAAAGGGGTAGAGGAATAGCGGTATGTGAGCTAGACAATAGTATTAGTCGTCTTAATTATCCTTGACTCTGTTGGTGGAAAGTGCATATATACCATTTAGGAATAGGGTTCGGGTCTCATTATGGGATGCCACACATTGCAGCAGGGCTAGGGCATTGCATACTCGATTCGAAGCAGCAGCAGTCAGTTGAGACGGGTTCAGTAGTGGGTAAACAGAGATAATCTCTTGCAGAAGAGATGTCATGACTCCTTAAAAGTACGTAAGCATGCAACCACTAGTGTACTCGGAGGAAACAAACGAAGAGGTACTCCCTACCAAATGAATGCCAGATAATAAGTGCGAGTTCTGGCACCTGTTCTCGCTTTTTACTCAGTTCCATGAGCGCCGACTCTCGCCGGTTGGGGTCCAGCAGCTCGGCAACCCAGACAAGAACCTTCCTGTTTTCCTCGCTCACGCCGCTATCAATGTTTCCTGCGATTCCGTTGCCGTTTTCCTGACCGCCAGGAGTCTGTGAACTGCTATTAACACCGCCGGTCATACCGATACGGCTATAGTGCTGCTGCTGCTGCTGCTGTTGGTGTTGGGCAGCAGCGGCAGCGGCAGCGGCCTGGGCCTGGGCATGTTGCTGCGCGGCGAGAGACGGGTGCTGCTGTGGCTGTTGCGATTGAAAATGAGACTGGTGCTGCTGCTGCTGGTGTTGCTGGTGTTGCTGGTGTTGCTGATGCTGTTGGGCCCATGAGGAGTCGGCCTGGGGATATTGGTGCTGATGCGAAAAGACGTGCGGAGCTTGACTCTGCAGCATGGCGAGAGACGGGGATCAAGGGATTCACTCTAGGGAACTTCCCCAAAAGCGAATCTTCCTGGAACAGGGCTTCAAGCAGGACGTGGATCTAGGGACAGGGGGTTAACTGCCGGACATGCGATGGCTATGCGAGATCAGAGAGCAAAGACGTGCGTCCTCAAGAAGGAGAAATTGGAATCTGAAGTTGAGGTTGGAGGTTGCGAGGAAGAAAAGGCGGGTGGGGATTCACTGATTTGATGACTAAGACGTTTATTCACTATAAAATTTTCTCGTATAGAGCCATACATCTAATTAAGGACACGAAAACGAAGGAAAAGACGGGGCATATACATCGTTTAATCAACAACTTAACGAGAACTGACGAGGAGTCCGTCTCCTGCTATGTACTAGAAACGCCAGATTTTCAGCATAACCCCAACCATATCCGCAGAAGAAAAACCAGAGGAAAAGCCAGACGTGTACCCATAAAATATTCACATAACGGACATGGACATGGACATCGAGATCGCGTGGGAAACATTAATTGAGGAGCCGGGGCGAAGGAAAGTGGTAAAAGATATTAATAGCTCGTTAAGGCCGCTCTGTCCGCCGGCCGGAAGAACTGCTGCTGCTGCTGCTGCTCGAGGTGTACGTATAGGACGAGCCGGTGTAGTAGGTGGTTGACTTGTCGTCATTCTTTCGACGGAGACCGAGACAGAGAGCAATAGCGCCGATGACTACACCCAAGCTGGCCAGTCCCATGAGGCCGGTCTTCTTCTTACGCTTCTCTGAGCTGACCCTCGATCCGCCGCCGCCGAACCAGCCGTGGTGTGAAGAGTAGGATGATGACCCGGTGTAATTTGAGTGCCTGGCTGGTCTGCGACCGCCGAGGCCAAAAAAGGCCCGTACCCGGTCGACACAGCTTCCCACGCAGCAGCAGATGCAGATGAAGATGAGTATCAGAGCACCAGCAATAGATCCGATGACGATACCGGCAATCGCTCCACCACTCAGGCCACCGCTGCCCTTGGTGATACCGATAACGCTGCTGCCATCAGTGCCCACAGCGGGAATGAATGGGACAGTAGTGGTAGCCGGAATAGTAGTGATCGTGACACCCTTGGTGCTAGTAGGTCGAGTTGGGGGAGTGGGAGCTGGTTCGGTTGTAGGGAACGGTGAGCCGCCTGCTTGAACACATACGAGATCCTTGTCGCATGATTGGGCAGCCGAACAGCAACGGCCGCCGCATGCCGTCTCTCCTATTTCGACCTTGCATTGTGGCTGGCCTGTCGGCTGGGAGATGGGTCGACTGCCGGTAGAGGTGACCGTGACCAAGTCAGTTTGGACGTAGGTCGTGGTGAAGTATTCCCATTGAGTGTTGCCGGCCTTCTTGGACTGACACAAGGCTTGGTTATTCGAGTCGGTTACGCATTCTTCACTAGAAGTGCAGCAGGCCTGTCCGTAGTAGCCGCATGGGCTACACTCTCGGGCCGCCAGCGAGTTGGTCGGCGAAGGAGTAGAGAAGGGCGACCCTGCGACGAGCCGGAGTTGTAGGAAAAGAGCGAGAATGGGCGCCGAAGCTCTGCACATAGTCTTTGCCAACATCGCTGGCTCTGCTGGTGTATTTCGTTTCTGTTTCTACAGGCTGGTAACTGCACTGCCAGCGAGAGCCTCAAGCGGGGGCGGCTTTGGGGTAAACAATCAAGGTATTCTCGCGAAGCTGTCTGTCAGACGTCCAGGTGGCTGGCAGCTCCGGAGAGGGAGGAGAGCAATTGCTATATGATATGTGAGTGTCAATGAATGAGCGAACAAAGGTGGAAGAGAAAGAAGAAAAGACATCAAGCTGGGGAAGACTCGAGACTTGCTGGTTGGTCTTTGTAGATGTGCCGTCGCTCTGCCAGCCATCTTCTTTTGCGGGCATCCCAGCCACGCCCAACCACCCGAATTATGCTATTCGGCTGCATCCTGGTCCCGCCCCAGGCCAGGGAGCTCTCTTGGTTTCGCGGTTTTCTTTGCAAGGGGTCAGTTTAGAAGACGATAGGTGTTCCAGAGGCCTGAACTGCGTCCGCAGGGCCGCGAAGACGCTCGTCGCTGTTCGTGGTTGCGGCGGCCGTCATGGGCGCAGTATTCTCAGCATAGCAGCCGCTCAACCTTCCAGCCAGCGACAGTGATGCCGTGTCTTGAGCTGTTATTTGGGGCCCGTCACAGCTTCAGACCGACTCTTCTCCCCGTCAGCTCGGCTGCCTACTTGTGATCATCGTCGCTGAAGATGGTTTTGTATATTTTCATCCCTTCATAGTCGTCGTCGTCGTCGTCGTCGTTCATGCAGGTTTTTGCCGGTTGAAGTCACGTGAATATATAATTTGGTTGATTTTTATGGAATGCGAGAGCATGAAAGGGAAGAGAAGAGGAGGAGGAGGAGGAAGAAGAAGAAGAAAACACTATGCTGGTATCAGGTCCTCCTGTCGGGATTTGCTGCATCCTCCATCTTCGCGGCCACATACCTTCCCTCCACGAGAATCAAGTAGTTCCGGTGATACGCCTTGTTCTCCCGTCATTCATAAAAGGCTGGCAAGGAGAGGCCTTGTCAAAGGGTGTCCAAACAAATAGCATAGACAATCAATCGATAGTAAGTGTTAGGCCCTAGTTCCTCCGTCAGCCCCAATTTTTGCTTATACCGGCGTGGGGCGTCTTCACCCTGGAACAAAATACCCTCTACCCAGCTGCTCCTCTCTGATGAAAGCAATTCGACATTGGGGTAAGCTTCTGGACTCATTCCCATGATCAGGGAAATCGGGCTCTGATCGACCACCGCTACTACAGGGTATGTGACAGTATCTAGATGATGATCTATTTCCATGATTTCCATACTCACTATTTGCCTTTGGGGAAATCGTGGCTCTGATGGATTTGTACTGGTGTGGACGGAATATCAGCATCTCATAAGGAGCGAGCCTATACCGTCGGGCCACGTTCATATTAACCCAGGTGTGTTTGATATGTTTCTGCTCTCCACGGGGCAATTCCTATGGCTCGCATATATTTTCAGTGTAATTTTCACAGACGAACAAAGCTATAAGCGAGGATATATAACTAGTTACTAGGTATGCCCCGTGCTTGGCCGTGGTATTCAGCCGGATGAGAGTACTCTCACTAATCCTTTCATGAGGCGTAGCTCCTATAATATCCTCTACTAATTAAGACGGATGTCTCATTCTATTACTTATATAAACCAATGATAGATAGCTGCAGTCAAGCCTACTTCAAATGTGCTTGCAGGTAAAGATGAGAGGCTGGCCGATACGAGCGCTTGACCATTGAATGCAATAAGATTTCGGGGGAAGCAGTCATTTAACTAGTTTAAGGTGCGGCTCTTCCGCTGATCTTGGATTTGTCTCGCTTGCTACCAAACTCCCTGAATAGTCTTTTGGTTTTTTTTTTTTTTTTTTTTTTTTTTTTTTTTTTTTTTTGACACATTAAGTACTCTTGGGGCGTAAATCATAAAATAACAAGACGGCTGAGAAACACTGAATGGCAGTTACAGCATGATGCGCCTGCAAAGATGGTAACTTGTAAAGGCGGACATGGTAAGCCAGCCATACATAGCCGCAGCTTGTACCAGGGCTTCTGGGTTGGGAGCGGAGTTGGGAGTTGTCTGCGTGGAAGAGGCAGCCGCTGGCGGCGTCATCGTGGTCACGGCGGTCGGCCCCCTGGCTGTGGTTGCAGGCCGAGATGTTAAATTAGCCGTTGGGGTTGAAATCGATATATTGGCCGTAGGATGTCCGGTAATAATGGTAGTAAATTCTGCGGGCGTGGGAGGTTTGGTGGCGGTAGCAAAGTCCGTCATGGACGTAGAAAGACTGTCCTCGTCGTCGTCGTCGTCGTCATTATCAGGCTCTGGCTCTGGCTCGTATAAATCATCAATGCAGTAGAATCTCCCTTCTTCCAGGTCGGGGCATTCGACATCGGGATTCAGTTCCTCAAACAGGTCAAGAGAGAGATGGTTGTAGTGGGCAAATGCCTCGCAGGTAGCGCCGCCCACGTTTGTAGCGAGGCTGCACCAGGGCGGCAAGCGATCGTCGACCTGGGAGGCGGCTGCAAGGGCCGAGGCCAGAAGGATAGGAAGCGGGAAACGCATCGCTAGCAGCTGATAACTATTTTCTGATAACTACCGCGGACGTGGAGGGGAGGCTGCTGGATGGACAGAGAGCAACGAAGGGGAAAAAGGGGAAGAAAAGAAAGAGGCTTGCGGCGGGACAAAGGGAGCACAGATGGAACAGCCAGCTCAGAGAGTCTTCGGCTGGCCAGCTCACTGCGAAGGCCAAAGAGCTTTCTCGACTGGCTACATGTGAGCAAAAGGCATCACTTATTCCCTGTAAATACTTGGCTAAATCATGCTACAATGGCCGTCCAGTACCCTCAACTAACTGCCAATAACCAACTCCTTTGGTTTGATATTGCGGCTCTAACAAAGGACCCACAGGCAGAGTGGCCGACCCACGGAGAGACATCGGACTCCAGCATCGAGCCAGCCAAGGGCATAGCCGTTGCATACGGAGTAGAGAAGGTACATAAGTATATATGATTAGGAAACATGGGGCAAAATAGGGATATCCAAAGATTAGCTCGTCATTTTGGCTATGGGAAAAAGGGGCTATAAGTATATAATATGTACTGCTGCTGCACGAGCAAAAAGAAGCGGAAAAAAGCCGTCCAAGAAATAAAAAACATACAAACATTCGTTTCCATCCAGTTTTGCGCCCAGGGTACATCAAGGGGGGAGGACTCGTAAAACAAGGAGCACAAGCGTTAGGTTGCAGTAGATAAATGGTCACGCTGACGGGCAGAAAATAATACCGAAGAGAAAGAGAGAGAGAGAGAGAGAAATCAAGCAATCATCCCGGCGATCGCGATTGACAATCCCATAAGAATCTCGTATAGGGCCGACTGTCTGTGAGGTGGCTGTGGCGAGCCGTTGGGAGTGCCTCCGCCGTTTGCAAAGGCGGTACAGTAGCCCTCCTGGAGGCCGAAGCAGGCCCGCAGCAGGAGGCTGGAGCAAATGGCCTGTCCGTTGCCGGTGGGAGCAGCACCCTGCACAGTGACTCCGGCGCCGTTCCCTCCGTTGATAGTAACTCCGTACGCACCGCCGAGAGAAGCTGTGCAGGCCGAGAATTGCGACTGACAGCCAGAGTAAGAGCGAACGCACTCTGCCGAGTCATGGAATGTCGTGGGGATATAGACGAACGGGAAGGGAGCTCCCGGCACCGTCGAGCCCGTGTGCGTCGGGGCAGCCGTGGTGCCCGGTTGCGGGAACATAAAGCCCGATGAGGTCGATGTAGGTGTTGGTGCTGGGGCCGGGCCGGGCATCTGCGAGGTTGCTGCAGTCGAGGTGGTGCCCATCAGGCTGCCGGTGCATTCTGCGCCGAGGGGGCAGCAGGCGATGTTGTTTGCGGCATCGCGGGAGCAGATCGACTCAGGCTGGCAGCAGGCCTGCGGGCTGCCCAAGAAGGCGCAGGAACTGAAGTGCGACGGGCAGAGATCTTCCCGTCTGACGAGCCGGGCGAGCCTGGGAGTGAAGCCAAAGCCGAAGAGAGAGAACGAGCTGTCGAGATTGCTGCGGGCTGCGGGGGCATGGAAGGGCGCCGACTCTGCTGCGAGGGCCGGGAGGACAGCGAGCAGCAGGAGGTTTGCCTGCATCAGCATCATGGCTTGTTTATATCCCGGCCTAATTCATGAGGCTCTTCTGCTGGCTCTTGTTATCTTGTGGTGTTGTGTGCTGCTGCTGCTGCAGGCGTTGTTGTTGTTGTGTTTACCTGGATTGCACAAGGGGTGTCTGGGGTTGCGGTCGAGATCGAGAGGTCAGGCCGTCGTCGAGAGGCTGGCCATGCGATGGGGACGGTGGGAGAAGGAAGAGAAGACAAGAGCTGCAGGAGGGCAGAGAAGACGCAGAGTGACTTGACATCACCGTCCTCGTCCTGCGGTCTCGATCCATGTCTGCCCGTCGCTGGCTCGCTGGCCTGGCAACGGCGCCAAGTCAGCGTCTCGACCTCGATACCAAGAGCTGCCAGCGAGGCGACGACGAGGATGGTGAAGACGGTGATGACAGTGCCAGCGATGCGGGTGATGCCTGTCCGCCGTCCGTCTGCCTGTCCCTGGGTCACTGCTGCGTAGATGTAGATTGATGTAGATGTTGATGTAGGTGTTGCTGATAGATAAATAGTTAACTTAGCGACCGCAGTCACAGCTAATATCAACATTTATATCAACGAGAGGCCGTCATCAACACGCATGAAAGCATTAAAAGCATTTGAAGGCCATTGTCAGCCCTTCCGGCTGCCATGCAGGCGCTCTTCCACAGGCCGGATTTTGCATCCATCCGCGCCCAGCAAGTCGTCGCCGTGGCCGTGCCTACAGCAGCCATTACTGAGCTGTCTCATGCATAAAAAGTGCTGGAATCCATCACATCCAAGCATGCCATCTGCGGCCTCGCTTGTTCCGTCCATCGCAGGCAGATCCAACGCCCTTTTTTTGCGTGGCCGCCGTTGCTTGGTGGCGGATCTTTCGGCTCTTTATATATCTTCATCTTTTTTTTTTCTTTGCTGGTTGACGTCAAGTTCGCGAACTCTCAACTAACTAGTTAACACTACTGACTACGGATCAACTGGTCACTGATACCGCTGAGGCCGTGACAACAGACGAATAGACGGATTCCCAGCCCAGCAGAGGCCCTGCGATGCCATGAGCCATGAGATTCTGACCCGACCGACCACCATGGGCCGCAGTTGACCGTCTCTCTCACGCAGCACACACACAGCGTCATGCAAGCTGGCAGCACAGCTCGATAACCAAACAGCTCCAATTCCTTCTATTTCTCTCCTTCTGCTGCTCTATTGCTCTACTAGCCAGTCCTCTGTCGCCGGCCTTCTCCCGGAGGGCGTGTAAAGGATGTCTAATGGATCCAGGTCTGATGCGCTGAGGAGTACCACCACCACCACCAGTAAGGCCGGCCGGGACACCAAACACACATCACATCCCCATCGTCTGCAGGTATATGGACTAACTTGATGTGCGGTCGCAAGCAGCTACCAAACCGGTCTTCCATTTCGCCGCCGGCCTCTTCTCAGGTCTTACATCTTCCATCCTCTTGCAGCCGGCGGACCTGCTCAAAACCCGGGTCCAGCAGTC